TCAATCAACCTCTACAGCCCCCAATGTACACAGAGGAAGTACACGTAAGGACCTAGAGCTCAGCCTTATGATGGGGGAGCTCTGAGTACCTCAACCTAATAAAGCAGCTTCAATATGCACAAAAATGCATCTACACAATAATCAAGCACAAATGTACCAAACCTGTATGTTTAATTCTGATTTTCACTGAAGCAGGTAAATTGGCTAGGGCTCTAATTAGCCTTTGAAAAAGGGTTCAAAGAAGTTTTACATCTTTTAATTTTTTAATAGCACATACACTTTTCATTGGCACCATACAGAGGTCACGCTGACGATGCAGGTAGTGGCAGTGAGAGTCAGCACTTTCCTGCTCATTTAGGACTGGGACTATTTCTTAGGCACTTCAGGCGAACTGATGTGAACACAAATGCGGAGAAAAGACGATGTGTGACCTTCATAGAAGAACCACCACACCTTGAGTGCTGTGGTTGGTACTAATTGGAAACAGAAGGCACGGAAGACTAACACCACCATCTCTGTGCTTCCCGTATCACCGTATAATGATCTGCTTATGTGTTCCTTTCCCACCTCTGATTGTGAATTCCTTGAGAGCAGGGGCCATAACCTTCCCATCTATCCTTGAGTTCCCAGAACCTGGAATAGTGCTTCATATAGAGAAAGTCCCCAGTGAAGACTATCCAATGAGTGAATGAATGAGAGACTACACAGAAGCAAAGCAACGAGACGTTTCTGCATTTTAATAGCAGGGGCAAGATAAAAGACACAGCCAATGGGCCTGAGGTGTTTTTGTTTTGTGTTTAATTATGATACAGTAAAATTAGCTTGAGCAGGGAGGTATGTACTTCTGTGAATGTTAATGCTTGTCTAGATTACTGTCACCACCACAATCAGGATGCAGAATGGTTCTATCGCCCCAGCATTTTCCCTGTGCTACACCTTCAGAGTCACATCCCCTGAGCATTGTCTTTTGAAAAAAAAATTCAGGGAGGAGACAAGGGAGCTAAGATTTGTGGATGAAGAGGTTGGTTCAGAAATTTTCTTGGTGTTCGTCTGTACTTGCAGGGAATTACTCTGAAGCAAAGGCTGGGAAGGATGGCCAGAGAACAATTTTTTTCATACTTACTCTATGCTAGGCAGTAGCTATGCTAGGAAATAGCTATTAGCACTGTCAGATTATAAAAAGGGAGACACAGGCTCAGAGAGGCTAGGTAACTTGCCCACAATCACACAGTCAGCAGGAGTTGAAGCCAGGTTGACACTCCAGCTGTCTGATTTCAAGGCACATACTCTACCCTTTATACCCATATTCAGGAAGTCATTGGAGAAGATTCCCTCTAATCCACATGTTAGACATCGGTAAGGGTTTCAAAAAGTTTTTGCGATCAGATTTATTCATATTACTCCCAAGACTCCAGAGCCAAGATTAGACTACCCCAGGAGATTAGACCAGCAGTCATCATTTGTTTAGTTTAGTACAGATGAGAATAAAGAGAGCTGTTCCATTTAAACAGAAAAACAATCATGATGATATCCAGTAATAGGAAAAATACTGCAAAGTGTCCTTATCATATAGAAATCTGAGTCTAAACTGTAGGGCAAGGAACTCATTCTTCTTTCGAATGTTACCAATCCTGCTGAAAAAGTTGACAGATTTTTATTAGGATGAAAAGATAATTTTTAAAACTAAACCAAAAGATAGTATAAACACAAAAA